TATCATGATCATTATCACAAATATTCAATTTACCATCATCTATCTGGTCGACTTCATCAATTTCAAACTCTTTAATAACAGAAGTAGACAATTTTGGTTCCTCTTCGCAAATCCTTAAATGTTTTATACCTTCACTCTGACTAGTAATACCTTGTAAACTTGTGGAGTCAGAACTGCACTCTGAGACTGTAACTCTCCTCTGTGACACTCCATTCAACAATAATAATAATAATAATAATTTATTTTCATATAAACATAAATTTACATGAAAATGCATGCCATTTTTACAGGCACGATCAAGGATGATATAATGTCAAATCTTAAATTGTCTACAAGTTAATAATGTCTCAACAGTTAAATATTTGATATATATATAAATACACATTGTCTGAACTAGGCTGTATAGTTATTGAATTGTACAATTGTCCTCCAGGTTGAGCGGGAAAATCGACTTCGTTTCGTTTCCATCCCGTGGTTGTAGGCATACGATAATCAACCAATATTGAGGTAAGTACAACGTTTACAAGGAATTGGAAGCTTTTTTAGAAAAATTAAAGTGCTGTGGTGTAACATTAAAGTGTAATAGATTAAGTGAGTGAAATATATCATTAATAAACACATTTATATAGAAAACAGAATGGGGAAGTAATTAATCCTTAGGCCGACAACGTTCATTTGCAATGTATAATGAAACCAATATATTTTATACTATCATGCGTTCACTTTTGGCTTTAATACAATTATTTTCAAGCCAGTTGTCTTTATTTCATGTCTTTTTTTCTATTTGGTACACAACGTACCCTCCAGAGAATAGGAATAGAATAAGTCGAATCAAATTCATAAAGAGCTATAAAATGTTAGGTTTAATGGAATATAATGAGAATCAAGTAAAGACGTTATTAGAAAATAAGTGAGACAAGATATTTTGAAGTGGTATTTAAAGACAATGGCTTACCAGTTGCAACTACAGACTTCTTGACCACACCATTGTCGTCCCACAATTCGGAGTCAGACCTTGATTTCACACTTAGCTTATCACTGAACTTGCTCACTGATTCACAGTTCATCTGTGTATGCACTTCTTGTAAACGTGTAAAACACAACCGTGTTTGTCTTGCATCTTGTAACTTATCTGTTGAGGATGTACTACGAAACCTGTTACACTCACTAGGTCTATATGCATTACTAGACATCATGGAGCCTTCTCGATATCCACCTCTCTGAGGCCTATTCGTCATCAATGATTGCGTTTTTCCCTCAGACTGCTCTATTCTAGGGGTAAGATTCAATATACTGGCAAACTTGCTCATAGATTGATTGACACTATTGTTTACCAGTTTCAGAATGTCCTCGAACTTTGGCTCGATACCCTCATCCTCCACACGAGAGCTTATCTTCACCCACTTCCTTTGCAGTCGAGTAGGTAGGCGTCTCGCTATTACTTCCAGGACTGAGCTGAAGTTGAGGTCACTCATGCAGTTCACCGAAATCAATGCGTTCTTGTAAGTCAACAGATTATCCAAAAACTCAGTGAATGCCTTGGAGTCATCTTGTAGTTGACTATCGTCACCTTTGACAGCTTCGAATACGTTCCTTACAATCAATGAAGGTTTTCCAAACCTTTGAAGTATTATGCTCATAACCTCAGCGTATCCCTCATTAGGAAGCATGAACGTACAGCACTGTATAGCTATTGAAGCAACTCCCGTGCAATACCTCATCAAATACATCAACTTCGTTTCATCGTTTAATACAAAACTACTTAACATCATTTCAAACTCCTTTACAAACTGTAAATAGTCAGCTGGGTTTCCGTCGAAACATCGAGGTTCATACTTAGGGAGTTTGATAATCCTACTATCCATAGACGGCGAAACAGTAACATCAACCATGTCAGACTTAACGTCAGACGCATCGTTACAAGTACCACACAAGTCAACATGACTTACTTTCCTGTTTGCTTCCAAGACGCTCTGTCCCTTCTTTGACCCAGGCATTATTGAACTTGATCCCATTCCAAAAAAGTTCCAGATATTTCTTGTTCAAAGAAGACTTGCCTGGCGGCAGAAAAGATTGACGCAGGCTATCGAAAATGTTACAAACTGTCACCAAAAGTCAGAATCTCTCTCCAATCCGTTAGAAACTGTCACCAATCCGTCAGAAGCTGTCAATCACGTCTCAAAACCGTTAACGCCCAGCTCTTGCCACGCCGATCCTCTCGCTGTCCCTCGAAGCCTTCGAGAAACGCTTGGTAATAACGGAGGCAAAATGCGAAACACCGATTGGCGACTCGAGAATTCCTTATTCTAACACCAACGTTTAACTAGCACAATAACTAAGGTCTATAAACATATATTACAATAATAAATCATGATATTAATTCTGACCGTTTTTCATCCTCTTTCTGAACAGCGACCGATAAGACGTGACTTGTGCATTGACGCCTCCGAGAAAATATAGTGAAGTTGAGTTTGAGAAAACGACCATGAATTGATCGTTCAATCTACAAATACATTGAAAAATTGTAAAACCAATGAAACAAATGCAAATCATATTGCAAGCTGAGATTGAATAAGGACATGTCCGGATCGCGTGTGAGGTACGGACGGCAAACCTTCCATCTCCAGCTTCTTAATTTCCACTATTGTCAATAAATTCTGGCTCAAATCCGATATGTACAATAAAATATTACATATAATTTGGGTACTATGAGTGAAGGCCATGATATTTCCGGTACTTTGAAATCACCTCCAAAAATTTTATAACTGAAGGAAAGATTCTTTGTAACGTTAGAAATGTTGCTGATGATATTATCATAATCCCAGCTGGATGAAGGGGGTCAACACACAACACAAGTGCACGTCTACTTCTGTCAACTTTAATTTGACGCAGGTGGAGTCATTTATTTGTGACAGAATTGGGTTACTGAACTGGGCTACGCACATGGGCTGTTTACAGTAAATTAGTGTTCCATTCCCACAACATATCTCTCTGTTCCCTCGAAAAAGGTTTCAGTCATCAACTCTTAGGCTGTCATTAGAGATTTCACTTGTTCACCAGGCTCCAGTGATCATAACCAATAACGGTCTGCATGCAGAAGCTAATGTAATTGGTGTTAAACATTTATTTAGGACTGATCTATTATTTACGAGGATCTTCGATAAACACTGACTACGTGGTTTCAGTGGGCAGACAAGATTTTAATAAAATATTCCGTGACCAACCTCTGTGTACATGTTTTAGACTCACTAACCACTATCTTTGGATCATAGGAAGGCTTCAGGCAGGTTTGTTAAGTGACAGTCAGGGGTGGTCTGTTGTTCGGATAGGGTATGCGATGAGAGACACATGTGTGATAGTTAGGGATATTAGTATCCGCGTTTGGTGACGACACTGTGGCAGCTATCTCCTAGGAAGTATGTCTTGTCCTAGCTGTGGATTGTTCGTTATATCAGCAAGGAATTGATCCGACATCATGCGTGCTATATGCATGACGCCGGTAAAAGTCCTGCTCGAAGTAGCTAGTCGGGGCAGTGTTGTTGTAAAATTTATAATCGATATGAGTATTTGGTAATTTGTTACCAGAATAGGAACGAAGTCTTGATATCTGGTTGGAGTGGTTATCAGACCATAGCAAGTTTTGTGCAGACATCGGCACATGCTCCCTACTAAATACATAAGATGTGTGAATGGGTTCTATGGGCTTATTTGGCTTATTGAACGTAGTCTGTATCCGATGTCTAGGGGATTTTATACAACATTCAGTTGATAGAATATTCAAAGCGGGCTGGCCGATAATGGGTTTGCGTAGTGGATGAGCAGAATAGTACCGATTATCTCACTATGTTGTTTGTCTTCCATAGTAGATTTACTAAAAACACACCTTAATTATCACCGCATTACATTTTATTGAAAACACTAATACTGCTTTCGGATGTGCTTTATCTTCCTCCCTGTGTCACGCATTTCTAATGAACTTTTACTGATTTTATTGATATGTCTAGTCAATTTAATCATGTGTATAAGCGAAGCAAGGAAGTTGTGTGAGTACCTTAATATGATTATGAGCGATAAATTGTTCTCGAAACATCATCAGCAAATATTACTGTATAACGCTGTGAGACTTTGTCAAAATAAATTTTATCCACAGTGGAATTATGCTCTACCTCAGTGTCCAAGTTTTATCCTTATATCAACTTGACACAGCCACTTCAGGTAACTAAATATATCTCCTACTTTGAAATTCTACAAGACTAAAAAGTATTTCACCATATCATGGAAAAAGGGCTAAGGAATCAATGAGTTCTGGATTGTTCATTTAAAATCAATTGAATATTCAAAGATGTACGAAAACACTGCATATATATAAAGGCGGTAAGTTTCTTTCCCTTCCGTGTGGTGATCCGTGTCTGGGGAGGGATGCCATTTCAGAAGATAGTGTGGTGATCACGAACAATGTGGCTCCTCTTTTCATGTGGACTTTGGTGTGGGTGACGACTTATGCTGTCAGATTACGTGCAGGGATCTCCTCCAATCTCTTTCTGGTGGATTAGGCGCAAAGACTAGGCACTGGTGTCTGCGTATATGCAAAATCTTGCTTCTAGGCCTACCGTATTGTAGGGTGTATTTTTGGAGCATGGTAAATGGCAATGGTAAATCACTAGAGTGAAATTCAGCCGCCTCAAAAAGCTGCGGCACCACTCTTGTGATTCACCACGTTTTGAAATTACACTCTACAATGTAGAAGACCCTGAAGCGAGATATTGCATCAACTCATCTACTCGAGTACACAGACACTTTGGTGCCCCGTCCCGTGTACGGAAGTTATTGAGAAGAGATTGGAGGCGATTTATGCATACCATCTGACAGTAAGAGTCGTCACCCGCTCCAAACACCTAAGTCCAAATTACGAAAGAGCCAGGCTGTTCGTGACCACCACACCCTCTTCTAAAATAGCGCCTCTCCCCAGGCACGGATAGCTACATTTCACATGGCACATTATGGTGTACGTATGTTACATTTTTCCGTTGAAATCTCATTCATTTCCTCTCACAATACTGAATACAACTTGCCCTCTTGAGCTTACATTTTTGTTGACCACAAATGTCTAAGCAAGCCACTTAACTGTTTCACCTCATTTATCTTATTTTTATGATGAATATTCATTATTTTATGCATTTAAATGATAGTCAAATATAGTGGACTATAATTCCACTTCGTATCCGAATAGAGTTTCGGATATGATTCGCATTTAGTGGCTTTTGTATGCCAACATAACTGATTTTATTACTGTAGTCTGAGAATGGTGAGCCAGGATTGTTCTCTCAGATTATTCTTGTTCGGAAGTAGTATACACATCATCCTGTTGCATTAATTTCCCACACTACGTAATTTAAAAGTATATGTCCCGCCATTTTTATAGCTGTTTCTGATTACATTACGAATGTCAGATGATTAGCAGTTACGTATTGGAGTTTTGTAGTAATTTTGAAATTTCGTTAAGTCTTACAATCATGGTTACTACATTTGAAAATGCGTAGAAGAGTGGTAGATTGTACACTGTTCAGATGTGTGAATAAGTATGGAATTTGAAGAATCTCGTGTACAACTGTTCATATTACTAGAATCCAAAGCTGAAACCATCTTGTCTTGGGACGACAAATTAAATTTTAGATACTCTATATCCTTGCAGAAAGATCGCATGCCTATCATGCCTTCATGTTTAATCATGAGTTGACCCCAGTTAGAGAACAACCAGGGAGTACTGGATTTCTGTTTCGTTATTGTCTAGGACTCGATCAGCACGCACCCATAATCCTACCGTGGATCGAATCCAGGACCTTCAGGTTAGGAGGCGAGCTCGTTCACTATTGTGCCTCTCGGATTGAGTCAAATAACCTATCAACTCTAGCTTCTGCAAATTCGTGGTAAGCATCGCGAATCCCGGTCGATGTTATTAACTAGTGTATGCAGACCAACACTGGAAAACACCTTATTTCATGTTACATGGTGATTCTGACATCAAAGTAATTCTGCAAATTACATTTTGATCTTTTCTGATAGAGAGAATGCATCGACATTAGGTCTTCACGAATATTCCTTATATACATGTATATTTGTGTACAGTGGCATAGATTATATAACAAGTGGACTTATCGAATTTGTAGTGAAATTCACCTTTGAGAATACATCATGTGTTGATTAGCATGAATTCCGTGTACCCGAGTCCCTCTTTAATTCAACTTTCGTAGAGCAACTAGTTTGTAGAATTTGGCGACGTCATAATGTGCTAAACAGGGGCTTCCTATTACGAACACGTATGGTATATTTCATTATTAGGTTACATTAGATCGTTCCTCAGCAGAAATTTTGCCATAATACGCGTTTCATCTAACGGTACACATGTATGATTCAAATTGGGATTTGTTGAAATGTCTCACTTCTGTGTGCACCGTAATGTTGTCACCTCGCTTAGTTTGCTGGTTCATTACCTTACCAGCCAGTCCTGAGCCCGGAAAAATGGGGAATCGAGCGTGGTGCTAGTAATCCTACTCCAGAGAATCAATTCAGTCGCTAAAAAATTTGAAATAACAGAGGAAATATAGAAATATATGAAGTTGCCTTATGCTAGAACCAGAGAGATGAAACGACTTGGGTTGGTGGAGGCCTTCGGGAAGCTTGTCATCTGGTTTGTCTCCTTCGAATGAAGGCAAAATTAGACAGAGACCTGTGTGCTTCAATGAACGTATATTGGAAGTTAAGTGCTAAAAACCATACAATCCTTTTCTTTGTGAATTGAAGTTATTAAAGTCAAGAGTTAATTCGATTTGTTATCTAAATTCAGGTGACTTGGAGGATATGTAGTGAAATGGTATAATGAAAAAATCAACCTTTACAGCATTGGCGGCCGATAAGTTGTGATCGTCGACCTAATCTCATACAAACACAAAGCTTTCTTGTAAATTCATTTATAACCCCAATGGTTTTTAATTTCTGTCACGGTTCCTCGTGAAGTTAGGGATAATTTACAACAATTATATTACCATTTCTTATGGTTTTTATAGCGCTAACAACATTTATGTAATATTCAGTAGTGACTGACTATAAGATGAATGTCCGTGGATATCTGGTAAGAAGTCAGGCCTAGTGGGGTCCATCAAGTCGAGTGTCAAGACAGATACTCGTCAGTGGCATCATGTATCGCGAATTGGCAGAAGTTGCACTTCATGGGTAGTTGGGTTCCGTCCCAGTGGCTAATTGGTCAAGGTGTTAACTTTTTAATGCGAAGGCCCTGGTTGCGTACAGCTAAATAGATACAAACTGGAGTGACACAGCTGTGCAGTATTCCTTGGTCTTCACTGGTGTCTAACTAATGTCAGCTTCTAATCACACTTGAACATTTTCATTCTGCATATTTCTTGTTCTATTACTTTCATCACTGATACTCTAAAAATCTGGGCATACACGATTTCTAATATTATTTTGTTTGACTTTTGTGTTTTAGCTTTATAGTGATGTTATCTAATGAAGAACAAGCAGTTATGCGAAATCTGCCAGCTCTTGTAGCAGATTTAGAAAGTATGGATATTATTGACCATTTGACTGCAACTACACCTCCATCAATTACACCAGCTGATTATGAATCAATCATAGCAACATCTCAAAGAGAGGGTAGAAGAGCAGGTGTTCGATGCTTAGTGGCCTGTCTGTTACGTCGTACTGACAGCTCAAAAGTATTTCAGTCTTTTATTAATATCCTAAAAGAAGATTATCGTCATTTATCAGATCTTTTGAGCAGTACATATGAAAGCCTGAAAGGTTCCAACGAAAAAGATGAATCAGACTTTGGTACTACTGCAAGTTCTATTTCTCTGCATTCTGATGCTGTTGTCAAAGCTAACGATCCAACTGGGATAATAACACCCTGTCAATTGGTTAGTAAAGATATTGAAAATTCAAAGAAATCTTTCAAAGGACTTGGACATTCTGAGTATGGTAATGTACATATATACATGTATTAAAGTATTTACCTACTTTATAAGGATTCGTTTCTATTATTTTGGTATACGTCGTTTCTTGCATATAAATGACCTTATATATATGTTCGATTTAATTATTGTCTGTTTTCTCGCGGTGCTTTTATTTTTCCACTTACCTGTTAAGTCACAAGTGACTGACTGAGTTTTCAACGTGGGACTGTACATAGCTGCAGTAGTTCATCTCTGCTATCGAAAGTCATGTCACCAACAGTCATTAGTACTTAGCATTCTGCGGAAGCCAACCCCAAGTGGTCTACACCTGCCTGTGTGCCTGGCTTAAACCAACACTCAAATACTTTATGGATTGATTCCAGGTTTTGATGTGACCACGACTATCTCCTTTCCAACCCAATCTTATGTCAGCTAACATTGGTGGACGAGGAGGGCAGTGGCTGATCATGCACTGTGTCCTAGCTATCTCAACCCATTTAGCCTAACAGCCTCTTGAATTGACTTCCTTTCCTTACCTAACACTCTACGTCTAACCTGAGTATTACTTACCATACGATACCACTTAACCAGGGAGATAAAATGCAAACACATTTGATCAGGGATAGCTAATTCACAGAGGAATTGAAGAAGTACACTTATAATAAGCAGTGTAGTCTGTGTTTACAGGATTTCTACTGTATATAGATCCCGACTGAGAGGTGTAATGGATGTATTTACTGCAACTCTGCGGCTGATGAAATCAAAAAGCAACAATATGAAGAAATCTGTCTTTAACTCTATCAATAAATGTACCTATACTTAAGAAGCTTTTAGAAATCTAAACTAATCTAATATCTTATTTCCATTCTAATTTACAACTGTGTTAAAACATAGATCTTTAGAAATTCAATGAACTACACTGTTACTCCAATATGGCAATCATAGAAAGTGACAAATTAACATAGGACTTTGTGTAAAAGTTGATTAATAACATTTTATTGTTCATTCGTGAAATTATTATGGATCACAGTCAACCGTGGTGTAAACGATTAATCATAGTCTTTATGAATTAGTGGCAGGTTCTCATCTGATCAACCGTAGCTCTTTTCTACTCTGATAAATTCATTAAAACATTTATGTATTATGTCGAAATGTATAACAACCAGAATTAGTGCATTTTTGTACAAGGTGGTTGTACATTTTTGCTTAGTGTTCAAATTCAGTTATCCTGAAAAATTGTTTTGAGCCATATCGTGCGTTTGTGTGTCTGTGTGTGTGAAAACTGATGATGCTGTCCAGCTGCCTCCGGACTGTAAAGTGAGTGGAGCGGAAATTGGACCCGAAAACCATTAACTCAAAGTCAAGTACTTGAGCTCACTTAAGTGCTTAAGTTCGTCGTGTGCTTATAATATGCTTTTGAGACGTTGCCATGGAAAGTGGAAAGTATCTAAAGACCAGATACCTTTGATAACAGATGTTTGCTTTGTATTTCCTGCGTTAAATGGTATAATATGGTGAGTAGTATTTAGGTTGCGTGTGGAGTGTATTAGATAAGGAAGCCAAGTTAATCAATCAGGTTGTGAGGCGTGTTGCTTATGCCCAACCACCGATCTCCTGGACAAGTAATGTTGGTTGACATAAGATTAAGTTGGAAGATAGTAATGGGTGATCAAATTGAAATTGACTGTTGGTTTAGGTCAGTCAGTGGGGTGGTGTATAGTTTGGGTCGTTGAGACTCTAAGTACCAATGACTGGAGACTATTGGTGGTATGGTTCAAAGTCGTTCTCAATGATTCGGATGCATTTACACCATGTGATTCTTAAGGCCCATTAGATCCTCATGCTCTTCTTTCTGCTGTAGATTTTTGCCCATTAAACTTTTTTAGAATATCTCTTTCGTCTGCGTTTGTGTGCTATATGAAGTGTGGCAACCGGAACTTGTTCAGCTCTGTGCAAGCTCCTGTATTGAAATTTGGTCTCATTCATTCAGTCATTGAGATTAATGAGCCCACATTTCCACCAGGTTGAATTGTCAGCCAGTTTAATTTAAATTTATTATCAAGTATAGAATTTTAGTAAGTCGTTAGTGAGCATCAGATTAATTTTGAAGTATTTGCGATATTCAGGCAGTTACCTGGGGTTCCAGTGGGAAACCATAACCTAGGGTACAGCAGGTTGAAGGTGAGACTGTAACTCATCGAGAAGACATTGCGAAATGGTCGCGCTATGTCATGAATTGGTTGGCAGAAGTTCGAATTCATGGGCTAGCCATTGGATCAGGTCCCAGTAGGTCTACCAGCTCGCCGTGCAGTTGGAAAATCCTGTGTTCGAATCCTGGCGAGTCTCAAACTAGGACGATATGAACAGCTGTCCAGTACTGCCAGCTTTTCCGATGGTTCTCTAACCAATTAAATTTATTAAGCAAAGAAAATGAAATCAAGTTTGTCTTAATATAAATTTCTAGTTTTTTTGTTTGTTTTATATTTATTAGATACCATATTTAATATTATCTCCATCATATGTTCCATCCGATTGCAATTATAAACTGGAAAAGTTTATTGAATGAATTAAAAGGATGCACTACTGTCAATACAACAACGGCAACCACCGCAACAACTAATATTTCTCTTACTGAATTCACTAAAAATCATCATAATAATAATTTTAATGAACTCCAAAGTGATCGGTCGAATCTCTTAGATTTACAATTGTGTACATCAAATTGTCGTCGTGGTTTATTTCATTATTTCTCTGTGAATATAATACGAAATTTAGAAAGTCGTGGTGGCATGGTAGTGTCGGCGGTTCTCCGTTTAAACGTTTACAATCAGTCAATTCTACAACCACAGTAAAGTTGAATCATGTCAGTTTTTTTTTATTTATAATTTTTGTTATTTCTATTATTATAAATTTTATCTAATATTTTTGTTTGAACTATTCAATAATTAATTTGAATATCCTCATGATGTTTTCTCTTCTGAATAAGGAATAATTAGTGTGTGAACACTTGTCACTAATCAAATCCCCACAAACCAACGCATATATCAGTCTGATGTTCATTAGCCACTGACCCTATTCACGTAGGTAGGTAGGTAGGTAGTTGCCTGGGTTCTAGTAAAAAGTTTTGACCAGTAGTGAGGTACGCAGCAGATCGGGTGTGAGGGCGAATACTCACTACGGATGACAGTGGCTAGTGGTCACTCTGTAATTCGGCAGGGGTTGGAATTCATGGGATAGCCATTGTCTCGGGTCCCAGGGGATGACTGCGAGACCTGGCCATTGATTAATGGAAGACATGAAAAGATTAGCTGTCTTTGATCGTAGGTGTCTGCGTTCTATCTCCTGTTTGAAGTGGTATAATAAGGTGAGCAATATTGAGGTTAGGCATCGGTCGAGTGCTAGTTAAGGAGGGGAATTCAATCGACGAGGCTGTGAAAGCTACATCGACTGAGATGTTTTGGACATGTGTTACGTACGCCTATTCATCGCCTTCCTCGACAGGCAATGTTAGCTGACATAGGGTCAGGCTGGAAAAGAGCTAGTGGCGGTCAAACCAAAACATGGCTTCACCAGTCAATGAAATCTACAACAGTTAGTTTAAGTCACGTAGGAAGGTGTAGACTTCTTGACTGGTTGGGGTCCTCGGATGGTAAAAACCAATGGTTGGAGACAAGTGGTGATATGGCTCAATAGCTGGTGCAGATGCATCTACTCCTTGTGACTTATAATTTCCAATGAAACTACATTGTTCTTCGTTACTTCCTTTTTCTTTGTCTCATTCATCTGTTTACTGTCTCTATTATGCATTTCTTTTACGTTCTTCTGTTGCTTCGTGTGCTGCATGAAGTGTGGCGAATTTAACTACCGTACATCGTTGCAAAGTGCTATGTCGAAGACAGACAGACAGACTTTCCGATAATCTGTCTAGAGCGACTTGATAACGTCCTTATCAGTAACCATAAAGGTAGTAATCAATACTTGACAACCTTGTCTCTTTTTATGCAGAAAAAGTGCGTCGAACTGATTCGTTTGTCTTCGCCTACAATAAGGTCAGCAAATCTTCCACCAACATTGTGATAATGCACAATTTAATATGCTCTCCTTTAACCTAGAATAAAATTTGTTTTCCGAAGTCTTATCGCTTAATGACATTTCTTACTATGTCTCTCATGCTAGGTTTACATAACGCATTTCAAATTTCTTATGGAAACACAAAGTCCTGAAAAAATTTGAATAAAACTTTCACAAGACATATTTCGTGAGACTACACCATCCCATAGTTCCCCTACTATCTCTTTACAACTAGTATGATTCACAATAATAAAATAAAATAGAATACATAACAATTACTCAGCTACACAAAACAAAAGTACATACTAATGACCAATAATATTTTGAAATAGGTCAAGTAGTCAGTCTATGGTAGGCGAGAAGGTTAAAGTCTATTGTATTTTGGACACATTTAGCATGTATGTGATTATTCCCCCAAAGTGCTTGCTAGCATCACCTTTAATAACCAACCTTGAACTAGAGTTATGTGGTGAAATAATTGTTAAGCAGTCATTATTTATTTTCATTTTGTGACCTGACTTTAATAAATGCTTTGCAATGGATGATGATGATGATGATGATGGATTTCTATTGAGATTAATGCGTTGGGATTTTCTATATGTCTTTATAACTATTTCCACGACATTCCATAATTCCATCCCTTTTATACATATAAGTGTCACCTCAAATGAACGCGAACTAGTAGATGCAGTTTGAAGTAGAGTTCACAGAATTTCGTCCTTTAATCGTAGGTAAAGTGGTCGAAAATGTTCGAGATGTGAAGGAAAGAGATGTGGCGGCGTAGAATGTGCCTTTGATGGCTGACCGAAGTCTTTGAGCTAGCTGTCAACTGCATAATTTGATCAACCCTCAATGGTCGGTAGGTGAATGGAGAAGCTGCCTTTTCAGGATGTGGTCTACCGATACTGTGACAATTGATAAAGTTTTCTGGGTAACCATTAACTAACAGAACCGAATGTTTGTTTCGAAACTCATCCATCAATGTGTTTCGCTAGTGCTCATTTTGTGGGCCCTTGAGAACAAACTTTTCACTAGGGAACGTTATACTGGATAGGAACAAAACTGGTGAAATGAAGATATTGTCGACTCCATGTCTGCCTACGAAGTGTGGATCGCTTAATTGTTCCATCGTCTCTCCTAGTCATTGTAATATCCAACAAACCGAGTTTGTTATTCGATTCGAGTTCGGGCGTCACTCGAATGTTTGGATGAATATGATTAAATAGGGTCATAAAGTTTTCAATAGACCTACTGTTATTACCAATAATGAGTGTATCATCCACATAACATTTATACAGTAGAAATTTTTCTAGCATACCTTGCATTTTTTTCTCCAATTTAGACATGAATATATCTGCTAACAGGAGGCAAAAAGGACTCCCCATCGCAACACCATTCATTTCTTTGTATGCCCTTTTCCCGGAATGTGAACCTGATATTTTCTGTACATATTAGGATGATGTCTCTGATGTAAGTGACAGGGGTAGGTAAGTTTATCCCATTGTTTGTGATGCAGTCGAAAATGAAATCAACAGTTTCATGAAGTGGAACATTGGTGGATAAAGATTCTATGTCGATTGAGCACATAACCTTTTCCTTAATGTTCAAGGTGTCTAGCATATTGGTCAGATCAAATGAACCTTTTCACAGAACGATTTGATAAAAAGGTTCTCTTACAGGTGTAAGGGCCTCTGTAATCCATTTAGCGATTTTATGATATGGAGAATTCGACCTATCTAAGATGGGTCTTAGTGGGTTCCCAGTTTTGTGGATCTTTTGAAGGCCATACACAGCCGGGGAGTACGTAATCCAATAGCTGTAAGTTCTTGATAAAGCTTTTCATTTATAAAACTGCATCAGTGAAATCTGAAGCTGACAATTAATCTGCTTCCCCAGAAAGAAGCAGCACATTATCAGCAGTATTATCCACTAGAAATTTGGACTGATCTTGGAGGATTTGATTCATTTTATTTTGATAGTCTGATTTATTCATGATGACAACGCCTTCTCCTTTGTCAGGTTTAAGGATAATAAGATTACCTTTTTCGATTAATCGCTTAAGTGCGACGGCGTGGTGTTCTTTTGATAAACCATTTTTCTGGTGTATTATGGCATTTACAAATTGGTGAAAAATGTCCACCAGTTTCACTTTAAACCAGTCCGCATTATCTTTACTAGAGGGAGTTAAATCAGATATTTGATCATAGAGGTTTTCATATTGTGACTGGACTTCCATTTTGTTTATTTTCATAGGAATAGTTTTGTATTTCAATTCACAGATAATGCTTCCAACTGTAGTTGGGATAGAGTGCATGTAGATAAACTAAGTATATGCTTGTGCACATCTTGAGGAAATTCCAAAATGTGATTCGTGTCTTTCAAAGATTTCGTTAGTTTTTGTTCCGTGGAACTTATGGTCTTTTTTACCATATCATTGTGAAATACAATGAATTTAATTCGACATACTAAAGATAAATTATCCCTAACGGGTATTAGTCTTTGGTGTGTTTCGATATGAGAAGATCGACTGTACTCCCTAAGTCCGCAACCTTCATCACCACCTCGAGATAGCCTACAACCTGGCACGTCGTCATCTGCAGTCTTCTTCACAACATCAGAAAACAATTCTGACCGGTTTGCCCACGGACCAACTTATTCCCGGGTGACTACGTCTGGCTCCATCGTCCGTCAGTCCCTGCCGGCTCGTGCCCCAAATTCTACGCCCCCTGGCAAGGTCCATATACTTACACTTACTTTACTTCGGCTATCTCCTACGGGAGGATGAGCCGGCTTCATGAACATCTCGAATCATTGCTGTCCAGGCGCGGCGATCTGATGCAAGATTTTGCGACAGGATTATCCAATTCTTGTTCCACAGACGGAGTCCGTAGACGGTTTGTAGCCCAGGCACTCCATATCAGCCTTGACTGTACCAAGCCATGTTTTCAGCTGTCCACCCCTGCGACATCGCCAAGATGGAAATGGCGTGGGATTTAGAACTGATTTGACCAGATCGTCATCTGGTCGGCGCAGAACATAATGGCCAAACCACCGAAGGCGACGTTGTTGGACCAGTACTGGAATTTGGTTGATGTTGTAGAGAGTTCATGAAGTTTCATGGGAATTAGGTACGAGTGATGTCCCCAGCATCGCTCGGCCTTTTGTTTGAGAGTGCAGCTCTAGCTTTTACCAACCACAATTCCTCCCAAACAGCATAATGACCCCAGTAAGTTCTATTACTGTCGCCGGTTCGGGCGCCGAGCATGGAAACGTGGGCACAATAAAAAACCACAAGGTGAGCTATTTTCTAATGTGTCTTTATTTGGTAAGTGCTCGAAATCTCCCCTCCTCCTTGAGGGTAAACTTCAGGGCGTAGACGTAACTTTTCTGGTTGACACCGGGGCATGGTCCTCTGTTGTTCGCACGGAATTGGTTCAGAGACTTGGGGTCAAACCTAAACATCTCCCCAATCAGCTCCAGCTAATTACTGCCAATGGAGTCCCTATCAAGGTAACGGACGCTGCCACCCTTTCCGTGACATTCCAAGGTCTTACTTGTGCTCAGTCGTTCGTCATTTGGGTGCGAAGGAAGCCAACACGTATGAGTTTTTGGTACTACAAAGTTATCATACAAGGGAAGACTGAACAGTTAAAATCTTTTCTGGCTGTAACACCGTGGGAAAAGAGGAAATTTTATTATTATATTTAAAATTTTAAATAATGACTACGGACCCAACCTATTCTCCCTCTTCTTTTTTTTAATACAGAAAACATGAAGGGAAGACAAAAGAAGTTCAGTACAGAGAACATGCATGCATATTGCAATTGCAGCTTAAAGTTTCTATAGTTTACCCATATGTGCATCAAATGTTTCCGTGTTTCGCTGTCAAACACACAATAGGTCTGTTGACTGATCGCCAACTGCGCATAGAAATCCATATAGACAGAGTCTACGTGTAGGCAGCATAGGTGTCTGAGTTCTGTCTGCCGTATAAAGTGGTATAATGAGGTGAGCAATATTCAGGTTAGGCGTCAGTCGAGTATTAGGTGAGCAGGGGAAATCAATTGACGAGGTTGTGAAGTTACACCGATTGAGAGAGATGGTTGGGACATGTGTTACGCGTGCATGTCTAGCCATCACCTTCCTCGACCGACGGGCAACGTTAGCTGACTGACATACGGGTGGATCAGGTAGGAAAAGAGCTAGTCAGTAGTGGTCAAACCAAAACAAGGAATCAGTCCAGGAAATCTTTAATAAAAGCTGTACAATCGCATTTATATAAATTATTTTACATGGATACAATTATTATTTGTTTAATTCCACATAGTAACGAAGGTGATAATAATTTTTAACTTGATATGAAAGTTTGAAGGTACGAATATAGATTATTTTGCATACGTTGTAACTATTTTCTAATCCTATGAAATCTTGTCTCTAAGCCCCTTGTAATCTGTTTGTACCTTCAAACTTTTATATCAAGTTAAAAATTATTATCACCTTCGTTACTATGTGGAATCAAACAAATGACAATTGTATACATGTAAAATCTTTAATAGTTTGAGCCAGTCATTTAGGGTGATGCAGACTACCTAGTTAGGGTCCTCGGGACACCAAAAACCATAGCTGGGACAACTGGTGATATGGCTGAAAATCTCTGTCAATGGCTGGCGCAGATGCATTCACTCTTTGTGATTTATCATTATTATAATATTACTACTATTTCCTTTAATTTCTAGAGGAACATAGAGCTTCAGCTGCACGTCTCCATTGCGTTCGGTTCTCTGCTGATCTTATCAACTGGCTCCAGGTCTGCCCACATGCTTCCATCTCCTCTTCAAATAACCTCCTCCAGGTCACCCTTGGATAACCGACTCGCCGCTTCCCATTCAGGTTCCACTCTAGCGATGGCCTGGAGTTTTGTGTCACTTGATGGTCTCCTCAGAGTATGGCCAATCCACCTCCATTTCTTCCTGCTTATTTGTTGCACAATAGGTCCTGCCGAGTTGGTTCGCTCCCAGAGATTCCTGTTCCTGATCTTTTCTGGCCAGCCATTTGATCTTGAGTATTGAGCAAAGGTAGCTATTGATGGACGTCTGTAGTTAGTTTGATGTGCTCTTTATGAGGCGCCAAGTCTCTGATCCGTATAGTAGCACTGACTGAGTTCACATTGGAGTTGAAAATCCAGATCTTATTTTTCATGCTGAATGGGGCTGTTAACCTCCACAAAGACTTGAGAGTAATGAAAGCTTGTCTTGCTTTCCCGATCCTTGCTTTGATATCCTCGTCAGTTCCGTCGGCCTGTAGTTGAAACGATGCTTCCCAGGTCGGTTGGTGAAGGAGGTTGTTTCTTTCAGGTTCCTCCCATTTATGCTGTCTGATTGTTGTGATTTATATATGATTGTGATTTATCATATCCAATATAATTCTATTGTCTTGTCATATTACTACTATTCTTTTTGCTTCATATTTCTGTTTATTATCTGTCTTTTGAATTTCTCTTTTGGCCTGCTTTGTGTGGTACACGAAGGGAGATTGGCGACTTGAACTGCTACTGATTTGTGCGAAGTTTTACGTTGAAACCAGTAAGTCAGCATAGAAAATAGTTACACTCTACCTAAGGATAGTGTTCGTTCCTCTTTCTCAGATTTTAAATTCCCACTTGAATACTGAAGAGGATTCTTTCTTTTTTGTTATCTATATTTCTCTCCATAGTGTAATAATATATACATATATATTTTTTAAATTTATATTTGTTTTCTGACATTTATATATATACATAAATTCAAGCAATTTATTCGAAAATTGGTTGTGGAACAGCTGATTCCAGCATTACAACGCTTGAATTTATGGAATTTGGCTAATCGTATTCATCGGGAAATTGTTCAGTGCAGTGGCGGTGATGGTGATGCTGGCGATGGAAGTGTAGGTGGAGATAAGCAAGACCTTCTGTGCTGCAGCACTATTGATTCCAATAAAAAGTGTAGTTTACTGTGTGTAAATGATCCATCTTTAATGAAATCCATCTCCAATGCTAACCATCATGATCATGATCAAAATCATTTTTACTTTTCATCATGTAATATTTTAAAGGCATATCCTCAATTAAATTATGCTAAATGTAAGCTTAATCAATTTGTTTGTTTGTCGTGTAATAATATTGCCTTCCTTGCTTCAAACTATGAAGTTTCAGCAGCTGGCAGTAGCGTTTTTTATTTTACGGATTGGGATGGTGTGGAGTTGGGTTGATAATTTTTTCTGGGCTTACAATGGGTTAGGAGGTCGTGAGGCTTAGCATTGTGTCGACAAGGAATCGAATTCGAACGTTGTACTTGACTGGCGAGCATTTTACCATAGAACCAGAGACTTTGGGGTTAACAAATCTCACAAAAAGGTTGACTCGTAACTTTAACAGTCAAACTTGGCACATTAGAATTTCAACTGCTCTGATCGTGAGTTTGAATCCTATTCTGTCTATTAGAGGATGAACTGTTTATCACTTGTAGTGATATAGCTTAGTAGTCTATCATGGTATAACATTCTTGGATAAGTTAAGGAATAGAAACACAAACGAACGAATTCATCAATGATCATGAGACACCCAACTAGATCAAGGCAATGAAATCAATTAAATGTGACTATATTCAGTAAGAAAGGTGTGAAAGAAGTGTAAGAATATTAAACATGTGAGGGAAAGATTAGATTTTAGGTCAGGTAGAGATATCCTCTTCTATCTCACGATGCCACGCGAGATGGGTTGACCGACTGTCTCTCTGGTTTCTCCATCATGTCCCAGGGTTGGTTAGCGAGCAGCGAGACCTCTGGTATGGAAGCCTCTCGGATGACATTTTAGTACATGTCTAAGCCATCGAAGCCTGTTTTTTCAGATGAAAACACTCAACAAATGGCGATTTACACTGTCCAAACACACGCCGCCGGACCGCAGAAACTACTCACGCGATGATGCCTGCGAACGCAAGTAATCCTGTGGAGACAGCAATGATTGAATACGTAGAGTCGTCGCACATTCTCAGCTAAGAGAGGCCAGACTTCACAGGCGTAGAGCCGGACAGTACGCACTGAAAGCATTGTAAACCTGACCTTCGACAGCTAGGCTGACGTCGGGACAGCGCCAGAGGTGGCTCAAGTTAATGTATGCCACCCTAGCTTTCATGATACGGTTGAAAACCTCATCCATCACGCCTCCACCAGCACTCACACAACTATCCAGATACACCAACTTATACATATTTATTTTCTTTTGTCGGCTTTTTTTTCTAACACAGCACTACTGTTCTCCTGTGTTGAACCGTTGTTTCATCATTCTCTTATCCTTCTTGATTGGCCATTTCTACTGCATGAATTGCATGTTTGTTCTACTTGTATATCATATTTAATAATGTGTTGTTCTACATCGTCAAGAAATCGATCAACTATGTGTCATTATCATAATGATAATAATAATAGTAATAATTTGATTGCGTCATCCAACTGTAATGCTGCATCATCTTATCAAACTCTTGGAGCATCTACTACTACTAATCAGAATGATGATGATGGTGATGGTGATAATGACGATGAAAAGATTCGAAATTCAGCTTTGAAAATTTATTTCAATACAGTATTGCATAATACATTACTGCAAAGAATGATTACAGAAAAGAATGATAATAATAGCTGTCAATCGTCAAATCCGATTGGGCATATATTTAATGAAAGTGTTCAAAAGGTAGGTTAATTTTGTTTCCTTTTGTTTTAATTTCTTCTAATTCAGAGTATCTTCTTGGTGTTAAGTCCTTGGTGTTCAAGTTAAGGAACCGTAGTAAACCGTCGTCCGACTTTGGGACTCTTCGGCGCTATGCCCTCATGACGCAGCGCATCGCCATGGGGTCGGACTCAACACCTTCAGGTTAACTGGTGAGCCAGTTGACCATCTCCGCCGTTAAGACAGATTCAAATGGTTCATGAATACTAACTTCTGGGGATTTGTGATATTTAGCGCCTCGCCACTATACGCACCTCACTGGTCACGATTTTACTCCAGTACTTCAGGCAGTTTCATCCTATGATCAGTCACTAGTGAGGCGTAGATTAATCTTGTTTTATAGAGTTCAGTTTTTGCTGAAATAGACATGATTAAGTTGAATAAAACAAGGTTAACCGTAGATCTAAATAATTTTTTTATAGCTCATGGAGTTCTTTGAAATAATCGCTAACATTTTGATTCATCAATGATTGGAGCTACATGGTGATTTTTCTATTAGATATATGTTGCATCAGTTAGAAGACCATCGGAAAGCTTGGGAGTACTGGACAGCTGTTTCATCTTGGTTTTGGACTCTTCATCAATGCCCAAGAATTGGCAGAATTTGGAAATCATGTGTCATTAAGTTATATCCCTTTGGCTGAATAGTCTACAACCTCGTCTCGTTACCAGGATGTTCTAGGTTTGAACACTGGTGGTGGGTGCGTACTGACAAATAGCCTCGAACCTGGGGGGAAACAGCTATTCAGCAGTGGGTTTCCCAGTGGTTCTCCAAATGATAACGTCAACTCGTGATCATTCATGAAACCAATCAAGTCTGTAATAACCAACACTTGAATATTAGATATGTCATACGGTGAAACAGTGTTATTTAGTGGATAGCATTTCAAACACAATTTTTCGTTCGTAATCAGCTCAATATTTATCAGTGGTTAGAGCTTTTCTGAAATGGAGATGAAACGGTCTGTAGACCGAATGAATTCTCTTTAGTGTGGTTGTGTGTTCTCTGAGCTCAGTGGTTCCATAGAAGACATCTTCAACACTTTAACGTGCAGTAAGAGTTTATTTAGGCGGACACCTGATGAGATAGTGATGCAGCGTCTATTGAGGTAGCTAAGAGATGTCTTACAAATCCACCGCCTTCCTTGATAAGCATATTTGATGATGACATAGGATTAGTTTGGAAAAGAGTGTAGGGGTAACCAAAACAAAACGTGGCATCGATCCATGAAGTCATTGACTGTTGGTTTGAGCCAGCCACTTAAGGAAGTGAAGATTATGTGGTTGGCGTCCTGTAAAGATGCAAAGAACCAATAGCACGTGTGTGAAATAATCAATGCAGAAGTGATTTCCAAAGATAAAATAACGCAGTGTAAGGGGTAGGGTAGGAGAGTCTGATAAATGGTAACGTCTTTTATTGGACACTAGTAACTAGTGTGATGTGTCTAGTCATATCTTTGGGCCAGATTGAATTCTCTCGGTGAGGTTTCCAATGTGGCCATCATTCTAGGTAAATCGCCATCACAGTGTACATTGATTTGATGATAATAGATGGCTGGAGGCAATCTATTGGAGGAAGCCCTACCTGACCTAAGTTTCGTGCCAGTTGGCACTCACCAGTCAGCAAGGCGTATCTTTAACCTTGAAAGAGTTTGTATCCCTTCTGAGATTCGAACCCCCGTCACCCACTGCTGTAGTCAGAGACGTTACTACTGTGCTATTTGGGCTCGTGGTTGACCTCCTGTAGGAGTGTATTGGATATTTTTGATTGGACTGATAGGATTCAATCTGCACCGAAGATAGAACTGGTAGGGAAACGAGTTCCTCCAAGGTTGCAGATACGCCTTGCTGATGAGTGCCAACTAGCACGAAACTTAGGTTCAAGGCTTCCTTTAGTCGACTGCCAATCAAATTATCCACTACAGTCCTACAGTAGGTCAATCGCGAGCCTGAATAGCTCAGTGGTAACGTCTTTGACTGCGGTTAGCACTGGGTAACGCGGGTTCGAATCTCAGAATGAGAGACATGAGTTCCTTCAAGCTGGTTGCAGATACGCCTTGCTGACTGGTGTGAGTGCCAACTAGCACGGAACCTAGGTCAAGCAAGACTTCCTGTTTGCCGATCGCCTCCAACCATCTAATATCATCAAATGTTAACTTTGTCGAAAATGCAAACTGTTACTTTTCTTAGACTGCAAATTCCTCTAGGTATATTAATTTATTCTTTCCGACTACTATTTCAAGCTTCCTCATGTGTTGTTTACTGTGATTATTTGTTTTTTTCTCTCATTTGTGTACTATATTTTTAGTCCTGTGTAGCCTCGGTGATCCATACACAATTACTGCCAGGTCTGCGTTCACTGGATCTGAATGTATTGCATGATGAAATTGAACAATTAGCCTATAAAATGCTTCATTGAGATTTTGTTTCTTCTTTTGACCAACTTTATTTATTGTTTTAATGAAAGACAATTGGATAGAGAGAGAGAGAGAGAGGGAGCTGAATGTTTTGACTGACTTTACTACTGATGTTAATTTAAGTAGTAATAGTGAAAGAATAATATATTTATGACATTTTCTCTCTTTTTTTAATGGTTATTCTGTGTATATAAATTCACTTCATCTGATAATTTTCATGTTAACCTTTGTGTACAGAATTGTTTGATTTTCTACAATATTACAAATAAACCTTTTTTATATTCGGATTAAATGGGTCTTGGATTGAGTTCAGTGTAGATGTAGTCACGAACTGACGTACTGGTTAGTAAAGAATCATTCAAAACCCCACTAGGGAATGAAGTTAATGAATTTCAACCGAGTGGCCGATTGGTCAATGGACTGGCAACGTAAATCAAAGATCTTGGTCTCGATCTCTGTGACTTAACGTCACTGCTGGATAGACCTCGGCTAAAACGAAACAGCTGTCGTCCAGTGCTTTCTAGTTATCCGAGGAATACGAAGAGGGAGAGAGATACTTGATGGCAAATAGCTGACCTTGTATAGCACACCTTACAGTTACAAGGGCAAATGCATGCAGCTGACGAGTTCCAGACGGGACGAAACGCATGTCGACTACTACTAGATGAGTAGAAAACAGTAAGATAATAAACGAAGAAATATTTACTCTTCATCCTCTTCTCTGGCTCTACTCTAATATATACATGTGTAGCATTTTTATTACAATTTATCAATCAAGTGGCACTAATATGTTTGTTAACAATAATTAGTCAGTGTCAACATGTCAAACAGTGGGGTGATAAGAATTAACGAAGAAAATTAATACACACACACACACAATTAAAAGGTAGAAATAGTTGCAACACGTGGATTGCGTAATGAATAATTTTGGAAAAATGAGGAGTAGTAAATAGGCAATGAGCGTGTGCACAGGTTGATTACATAACAGATTGTTAAAGAAAAAATGATTTGGGCAATGATAATTTGTAAGTAAGGTTGAAGTGGTCATAAGGATAAAATAATTGTACAGAGATAACATGTAGTTAAAAATGGAGTAGTGAGAAAAATAATAAAATAATTTGGACAATTATAATTTTTAAAGGTTTAGGGGGAGAGAGGCGAAGTCGTCCGATTTATACATTCATTCATGTAACGATGGTCAAGGTAAGGAAACTGGCTGTACAAATTTCTTCTGAACACACAGGTTTGGCTTCTTCTTCTTCAGGTGGATCCTATTGATTCAACTGCCGTATGTAGAAGACGAACTCGTAGAGCAAAATTAAGGTTAGTACTGACGCGATAAATAGTTTTAAATGCTGTATAAACGTCAACCTTATGCTCACTTTCTACGAAAGGGGGGTTAAAATAGAGCTACGAATAGATCTTGTTGTCACTTCCTTAACCATGTTGGATGGTGTTCAGAAATATGATTATGAATCTGCCTAATTATACACCCGATATAGCTGGCGTAGACCGCAACTATATCTGGCGTATTCGGACTATATGAGTCTTGGATTGATTTCAATAGAGATTTGGTCACCAACCGACGTATTGATAAGAGGGTTATTGAAAACTCCACAAGACATCAAAGTTATTATTCACGGGTTTATGACTTTCGATCCAGTGGCTGAATGAACGTAGCCCGAAGATTTTGGTCTGGATCTGTGGTGGAGTCACTGCTAAATAGTATTAGGGTAAGACGAAACAGCTGTCGTTCAGTGTTTCCTAGTTATTGAAGAAAGAAACATTGGCGAATGGTGGAAATAGCTGACCTTGTATCGTCTTACAGAGACAAGATTACCAGGGGACAAATTTTGACAGCCTTAAAATCGAATATGACGGAGTGATAGCTGAGGCCTTATTTTTGTCGAATAAACTGAGAATGCATATAACAGGAACGATTCAACAACTGTCTTGGACACTTGGGGAATTTACTCCCCTATGACTAGTGGGAAAGCAGAACGAGAACTATAAAAACCGAGTTTCGAAATTGTGGAGATAGCGAAAACACAATATATTGCATTCGTGACATCGTCATCCAGTGAATAGTACTGTTTCAGTGTATGTGATTTGCCAAATAAATATACCACTGTAGAAGGTTTACTTCATGTTTGACACCTATGGTTAGCGAAACGTAGCATTTTATCTGGAATCTGTTCAATAAGTTATCAGTTAGTCACAATAAGGTTATATCTGATCTATTGTCTGTAATAGTCATCTATAAGTCGTCATAACCTTTCCTAATTATTTTTGGGAATTTCAAGTGGAACTTAAGGTTCAAGGTTTTTAAATTTTCAACAGTAGTGTTGTTTACACTAGGCGGGACTGATAGCCCCACACCTAATCTCCCCTTCTTTCTAGGCTTATTACCAGTTAGTTAACTAGGGACATCACAGACGGGGGTCGAACCCTGGACCACGTACGTAGCTGGCTACCATAGCATTCTACCGTTGAACCATCTAGGAGCATTGTATTAATAACTAAAACCTCCTAACTGTAAGCTTATTCTAGCTTTATTGCTAAATAGTGTGCGCTTTTGTCTTGTACCCACATGCTATGAATGTATGACGACAGCCTGCCTAAATGATTCGGTAGCTACCTAATTTAACATATTGAGCTTGATGCATTAGGTTTATTCACTTCTACTTCGTTTTAACCATCTGACTATAGTTCTTGAAAAACTTGTACTCACGTGCTTCCAATACAGCTGCAGTAATGTTTTTTTAAACGACGACACCGTCAGTGGGTGGGGCGAAGAATGTTCTGTCGTGTGATATGATATTCTGTAAATTACTATCCTGTGTATAAGGAATAGATAAAAACACGCCGAGAAATTCTCTACTGCACGTAAATGTATTGTGACTGACTGACTACTTTCAACTCAGAACTTTGTACAGATGTACCACAACCCGAGTTGCCACTCTCCCTACATGAACCACACAAGGTAAGAGAAGGTAGATTCAAACGAGACACTGATAATAAACAGAAATGCGAGGCAAAAAGTTTGGTTCCCAACCATCCCAAGGACCTCAACCAGTCACGAAGTCTAAACCTCCCTACTTGGCTGGCTTAAACCAACTGTTGTGGATTTCATTGACTAATGAAACCACGTTCTGGTTTGACCACTACTGGCTAGCTCTTTTCCAACCTGGTCCTATATAAATATATTGTTCAGAATAACCTTATTCATATGATACTGATCGATCTATGTTAGTGATACTCAGTTAATTCGATAGACTTTCGAATGTTTTGTACACTACTAAGAACTAATATGTAGGGTCACTTTCTTATGTTTACTGATTATTTACACGACTGAGATTAACAGTAATGAAGGTTAATTTCTCTAACCTCGAACTTATCAATCCAAGATGAAATCGAATTGGTTGTTATCTGATTACTGCGTAGGTGTTCATCAGTGTGGTAAATTCTGATTGGTTGGCTATCTGTCTGACTAACGTATGGGAAGACAGTATGAGTATAGTTTAAACTTAGATCAACAAACTATTGATTTAGTCTCATGCACAAGACAATGTCACCTTCCTAGTCGCCGCAGAATCATTGAAAATGGACCCAGAGACATTACTACTGGAGGTGTGGAAAGAGAGCAAGGCACCTGCGGACTGGAAGAAAGGCTAATTATTCAAACTGCCAAAGAAAGGAGATTTAAGTCAGCGCAAGAACTGGTGTTTCTGTCTGTGCCAAGCAAAATACTAAGTCGCACCATCCTGGAGAGAATCAAACACGCTCTGGATGAAAAGCTTTGACCGAAACAGGCTGGATTCAGGAGAAACAAGTCATGCATCCATCAAATCGCAACACTACGTATCATCATCATTGAACAGAGCTTGGAATGGCAGTCATCTCTCTATCTCAACTCCATTGACCTTGAAAAGGCCTTCAACAGCGTCGATCGAGAGGGGATTCGAAAACTAGTTCGCTACTACGGGGTGCCGCCAACAATTATACATCTCATGCAACAGTTGTATGAAAATGCTGCATGCTAAGTAATCCACTACAGGAAACTCACGGAACCCTTCGAAGTGAAGACAGGAGTAAGACAAGGTTGACTGGCTGCTTATTATCCCCAATGATTTTCCTGCTTGCGGTAGACTGGATAATGCGACGGACAGAGGGCAGTGAGGAAACGGGCACAAAAAGGACCCACAATAAAAAGCTTGAGAATCTGGATTTCATCGATGATATTTGTCTGATTTCCCACAAACTGGAAGATATGTAAGTGAAAAGCAACAAGTTAGCGATAGAAGAAGCATCAAAAATAGGACTTCAGGTGAACAAAGAGGAAACAGAGGTAGGTGATGAAGATTCCTGGTCAACAGCAACAACGACAACAATCAGCCAGTGTAAATGGGAGGAACCTGAAAGAAACAACCTCCTTCACCAACCGACCTGGGAAGCATCGTTTCAACTACAGGCCGACGGAACTGACGAGGATATCAAAGCAAGGATCGGGAGAGCAAGACAAGCTTTCATTACTCTCAAGTCTTTGTGGAGGTTAACAGCCCCATTCAGCATGAAAAATAAGATCTGGATTTTCAACTCCAATGTGAATTCAGTCAGTCCTACTATACGGATCAGACACTTGCACTGCATCAAAGATAAGACTTCCTTCAGGTAAACATACAGAAAACAGAGGTGATGAAGATACCTGGCCAACAGCAACAACAATCGTCATAAATGGGAGAAATCTAAAAGAACCAACCTCCTCCTCCACCTACCTACCCACCCACCAGGGAAGCATCGTTTCAACTGCAGGCGGACAGAACTGATGAGGATATCAAAGCGCGGATTTGGAAAGCAAGGCAAACTTTCATTTCTCTCAAGTCTGTGTGGAAATCAAAAGCACTCAGCATGAAAATAAAAATAAGATCCGAATTTTCAACTCCAATGTGAAGTTAGTGCTACTTACTAAACGGATCAGACATTTGGCGCGTCATGAAGAGCG